TGTTGATAGGCTTGCCAAGCAACCTGTGCGAGATGTGGGGGTGCATACTTAGTGGGGAAGGGTACAATGAGCACCCCAATGTGATGACATCACTTCCAGCATGACCTGGAAGTGATGCCACCACACTGGGAGGATGCTCTAGCAGTCACTCAAATGCAAGAGCATCACTTGATGTTATCTGTCACTTCCAGGTCATATGAGAAGTTATATCATCCCACTAGGAATGCCAATTGCATGACTCCCATTAGGTCACCATTTCCATCCCACCACCCAGCTAAGTGGTAATGGTCAAAGGTGGTGGGGAGCAGGAGGTCTTCCACCACCACCGGGCAGCTGGCAACCCCACCTGTTGCTCCTGGTTTGAAAATATCTATGAGGTCTGATCAATATCATATATTGGGGAAAAGCTGACAGGAGATTGGGGAAAAGCCAACAGGAGGTGAGAAGTCTCTGGTTCGGGATGGCTCATCTCAAAGAGATGAAGGAGTAGCTGTTACTTTTCTACAAGGAAATGGATTAGAATTGTCCACTGAGTCTGTGGCAAATGATATGGACTGCCTGGCAAGGTCTTGAGGCAGCAAGAGGAAGGTTGTGGGCTTAACATGCATGGGAAACTACAGATGTTTATATACAAATGCTAGAAGTGTCCGAGGTAAAATCAGGGAATTGGAATGCTTGGTGTTGGGGGGGGGGGGAATAGACATTGTGGGTATTTCAGAAACTTGGTGGGATGAGGAAAATAAGTGGGATACAGTGATTCCTGGTTATAAATTATATCAGAAGGATGGGGGGAAGGGTTGGAGGTGGGGTGGCTCTGTATGTCAGAGAGGGTATACAGTCCAGTAAGATTGAGAGGGTAAGAGAATTGGATTCTCTTCTGGAAATGCTATGGGTTGAAATAGTGGGCCCAAAAGGAAGCTTAACACTGGGAGTATGTTACTGCCTACCAGATAAAAAGACAGAGGAGGAGTATAAAATGATGAATGAATTAAAGATAGCGGTTAGACAAAATAACTGTGTCATAATAGGTTATTTTAACTACCCACACATTGATTGGGTCAATATGTGTTCAAGTCGGGAAAAAGAGATTGAGTTTCCAGACATTCTCAATGACTGTGCTATGGAACAGATGGTCACAGAACCTACCAGGGGAGAGGCAATCCTGGATTTGGTCCTAAGTAATGCCTAAGACCTGGTAAGAGATGTAAAACTGATTGCTTGGGAACAGTGACCATAATGTTACTGAGTTCAACATTTGTATAGATAAGGAATTGGCCAAAAAGACTGACACAACCACTTTTAACTTTAAAAGGGGTAACTTCTCTGATATGAGGGGACATTTGAGGAAGAACCTGAAAGGAAAAGTAGAAAGGGTCAAAACCATTGGGGAAGCTTGGAGTCTATTTAAAACTACAATCCTAGAAGATAGAAAAAATATATACCACGGGTTAGGAAAGGCACAAATAGGTATAGAAAAAGGCCTGCATGGTTAACAAAGTAATGGAAGCTGCAAAAGGTAAGGGTTCCTTTAAGCAGTGGAAAGCTAGTCTCAGTGAGGTTGATAAAAGGGAACACAGGCTGTGCCAAATAAAATGCAAGTCTCTGATCAGGCAGGCAAAAAGGGAATATGAGGAGCATATCACAAAAAATGTAAAGACCAAAATAAAACTTTCTTCAAATACATTAGAAGCAGGAAACCAGCCAGGGAGGAAGTGGGGCCCTTGGATGACCAAGGGGTAAAAGCAGTACTGAAGGATGATAGGGAAATGGCTGAGAAGCTAAATGCATTTTTTGCCTCTGTCTTCATTGTGGAAGATGAGAAGCGCTTGCCCACTCCAGAACCGCTGAGTTTGGGAGGGGTGTTGAAAGACCTGAGTCGGATTGAGGTGACGAGAGAGGAGGTCCTAAAACTGATAGACAACTTAAAAACTGATAAATCACCAGGCCCGGATGGCATACGTCCAAGCAGGGCTTTTTTTGTAGAAAAAGCCTAGCATGAGCTCATTAGCATAATAGGCCACATCCAACAGCAGCAGCAGAAGAAGAGATTGGATTTATACCCCGCCCTTCACTACCCAAAGGTGTCTCAGAGCGGTTTACAAACTCCTTTCCCTTCCCCTCCCCACAAGAGACACCCTGTGAAGTAGGCGGGGCTCAGAGAGCTCTTGACAGAAACTGCTCTTTTTCAAGAACAGCTCTTATCAGAGCTACAGCTTGCCTAAAGCCATCCAGCTAGGTGCAAGTGGAGGAGTGGGGAATCAAACCTGGTTCTCCCAGATTAGAGTCCAAACTGGCTCAGTCTTTCAGAAACTGGCTCAGAAACTCATTAGCATATTAGATCACACAGTGCAGCTCATTAGCATATTAGGCCACACCCCATGCCTTCCCTTGGCTTGCCCGGGCGCCCCACAGCTGTGGGGAGCCCGAGCAAGCTGGCCCTTGGAGGGGAGGGGACGGGAGGCAGTTTAAACTGTCTTCCCTTGGCTTGCCCGGGCACCCCGCAGCTGTGGGGAGCCCAGGCAAGCCGGCCCTTGGACAGGCCGGGGAATGCACGGGGAGGCATTTAAATGCCTCCCCGATCCTTCCAGCCCCACCCCCCGGCCTGCCTGCCTCAGAGTCGCCACTCTCCAGGCCTTCCCTCTGTAGCCATGCACACAGAGGTTTTCGCTGTAGTTGGCATAACCAACTCTGAAGCCAGCCGGAACTCTGTTCCTGTGCGGTCCTGTCCAAAAATAGCCCTGCGTCTGAGAGTTCTGAAGGAATTCAAATATGAACGTGCGGATCTCCTGACAAAAATATGTAATCTTTCATTAAAATCTGCCTCCATTCCTGAGGACTGGGAGGTAGCTAATGTCACTCCCTTCTTTAAAAAGGGTTCCAGAGGAGAATTGCGAAATTACAGGCCAGTCAGTCTGATGTCAATACCGGGTAAGTTGGTGGAAACTGTTATTAAGGAAAGAATTAGTAGGCACATAGATGAACAAAAACTACTGAGGCAAACTCAGCATGTGTTCTGTAAGGGAAGATCTTGTCTCACTAACCTGTTAGTGTTCTTAGAGGGAGTGAACAATCATGTGGACAAGGGGGACCCAATAGATGTTGTTTACCTTGACTTTCAGAAAACTTTTGATAAAGTTCCTCATCAAAGTCTCCTAAGTAAGCTCAGTAGTCATGGGATAAAAGGACAAGTCCTCTTGTGGATCAAAAACTGGCTAATTAATAGGAAACAGAGAGTGAGTATAAATGGGAAATTTTCTCCGTGGAGGGTGGTAAGCAGTGGGATACCACAGGGATCAGTACTCGGTCCGATGCTTTTTAACTTGTTTATTAATGACTTGCAATTGGGAGTAAGCAGTGAAGTGGCTAAATTTGCAGATGACATGAAGTTGTTCTGGGTGGTGAGACCAGGGATGGTGAGAACCAGGGAGGATTGTGAGGCACTCCAAAGGGATCTGTCAAGGATGGGCGAGTGGGCGTCAACATGGCAAATAGGGTTCAATGTGGCCAAGTGCAAAGTGATGCACATTGGAGCCAAAAATCCAAACTATAAATACACGTTTTTTGTTGTTGTTCAGTCGCACAGTCGAGTCCGACTCTTTGCGACCCCCATGGACCACGCCAGGCCCTCCTGTCTTCTGCCGTCTTCTGAAGTTTGCTCAATTTCATGTTTGTTGCATCTATGACACTGTCTAACCATCTCATCCTTTGCCGTCCCCGTCTTCTTTGACCTTCAATCTTTCCCAGCATCAGGGTCTTCTCCAGTGAGGGCTCCCTTCTCATTTGGTGGCCAAAGTATTTGAGCTTCAGTTTCATTATCTGGCCTTCCAGGGAACAGTCAGGGTTGATTTCTTTGAGGATTGACTGATTTGTTCTTCTTGCAGTCTCAAAAAGGATATTATAGCATTCGAAAAAGTGCAGAAAAAGGCAACTAGAATGATAAAAGGGGGAAAAAAGAAAAAAAAAGAATGATAAAAGGGTTGGAACACTTTCCCTACGAAGAAAGGTTAAAGCACTTGGGGCTCTTTAGCTTGGAGAAATGACGGCTGAGGGGTGACATGATCAAGGTTTATAAGATTATGCATGGGATAGAGTAGGTAGAGAAAGAAATACTTTTCTCCTTTTCTCACAATACAAGAACTCGTGGGTACTCAATGAAATTGCTGATCAGTTGGGTTAGAGCAAAGAGTGATTAGCACATGGAATTCACTGCCACAGGGGGTAGTAGCGGCTACAAGCATGGATGGCTTCAAGAGGGAATCAGATAAACATATGGAACAGAAGTCCATCAGTGGCTATTAGCCACAAGGTATAGATAGGAACTCTCGGTCTGGGGCAGGTGATGCTCTGTATTCTTGGTGATTTGGGGGGGGCAACAGTGGGAGGGCTTCTAGTGTCCTGGCCCCACTGCTGGACCTCCTGATGGCACCTGGTATTTTTGTCCACTGTGTGACAGAGTGTTGGACTGGATGGGCCACTGGCCTGTTCCAACATTGGCTTCTCTTATGTTCTTATATTCTTAACTATGTTTATAAGTCCTACCTCTTACATGACCTTGCACCAGAGCTCAAGCTCTTGAACCTCAATCTCCTAACTGTAAAATGGAAATGATAATTATTTGGAAGATTTAGTTATCTTGGAGATTATAAATTCATTTAAAAGTTTTTTTTAAACCAGTAGAAGTGCATACTTAAAACAGCAACTCAGCTTCTGATGTCATTCAGTTTGGATCCCTTCCCCGTTCACGTTTATGTGTGTGTTGTAGCTTGTGTGCAGGCAGCATATTGAAAAGGAATTTAAGCAGGAAAATATTACATTTTAGTTGGCTGAAACCCAAATACTTCAAATCCACCCTTCTGCTTAAACATTTCTTGTAGGATATAAAGTAGAGGTTTAAGAAATCCAGTGTGATTCCCGAAAAGCCTGCTACATCACCTTAGTTATGCTTTTGCTTAATTAAGAAGTATGAGAATGTTCACTGATTTTCCATTTTTCCCCATCAGTAATACGTAGGAATCCGTTTGGAATGGACATCTGTTGCCGGAAGGGGTCAAGAAGCCCATTGCAGGAGCTCTACAATCCAACCCAGGTGAGTGTCCCGGTGTTGCACTGATAGCTTTAGAGTCTAGAAACATCCCACACATGTTTCTCCATTATTTTTCTGGAGGATTCCCCCCCCCATCCTGCAGTGAAATTTTAAAACAAACTATACACCTGTCTTGAAAAGGTTAATTGCTTTGCTGTGAGCCCTGGTGAGTTTTTATTTGGGGGGCGGGGATGAATTTGTTGGACAGTTAATTCAGGGCAGATGAAAGGAAGTACTTCACACAATGTGTAATTATCGAATTCACTGTCCCAAGATGACATGATAGCCACTAGCTTAGATTGCTTTGAAAGGGGATGAGACAAATTAATGGAGGCTAGGCCCGTCAGTGGCTACTATGACTAAATGAAACTTCCATTTTCAGAGGCACTGTACATTGAATGCTAGTTGCTGAAGAGCTTCTGTGCTCTGCTTGTAGTTTTTCCAAGGGAAAGGCAATGCTGGACTTGATGGACTATTGATCTTATATTCTTTCAATCTTTACTGAATAGGGAGATAGAGACGATAATCAAACACAGGCACAATAAAGAAGATCTGGGTTTCTCAATTTAAGAACACTGTGTGACAACTACCTCAGATAGGCTAAGTGTTGCAGTTGGCCCTAACTATGTGATTGGCAAACTTGTTCAAACATGTATTTACAGAAGTGGCAAGCCCCCGGATTTCTGCATGTTTTTCTTATTTTGTTTAAAGGGAACAAGATGTTACAGGAAAGGCATAACTGACATACTCTGTGAATGTCTTTTCCTGCTAACGTTTGAAACTGGAGTTGTCTCTCTCATCAGGGCTGAACATTTGAAAGAGTCTTAACATTAAATGTATGTGCCAGAGAATATTGCCAGCACCACCCATAATTCAGACCACTTTTACATTAAGAATAAAGCAGCTGGTTTAGTGGGAGAGCTAGTGAGAAAGGGTTGGCAGGAAAGGAGGTACCAAAAGGTGTACCAAGCCCTTTTGTGGAGTAATGAACCGAATTAACTAATCTGACTAGTATTATTGCCCTCATTTGGTAATCCCAAACTGTTTGCTGTGATTTGCTTCTCTGGATTAGTCAATAGCTACTGTGTGACAAGGGCTACCTGATCCTTCGTAAACTTATCACGTTCAAGATTTGCTTCATGTTGGCAATGATGGAGGAGGAGATGCTATTCTCGATAACATTCATTTATGATAATAGAATACAGGTAATGTAACTCTGAAGTATTAAAGTTACTGCTGTTAGGTGTGTGAACAAAACCACTGTTTAGGTGATGCAGAAAGGAACTTAGGAGACAACTGATTTCCTTGGCCAGTGGTACCTCAGCTTGAACATCAATATATTTTCAATATAGCCCTGACCTGGATAGCCCAGGCAAGCCTGATCTCATCAGATCTCGGAAGCGAAGCAGGGTCGACTCTGGCAAGTACTTGGATGGGGGACCGCCTTGGAATACCAGCAATCGGGAGGCAGGGGCAGGCTTTATTCAGCCACCTCTCTGAATATTCTCCAGGCCCCCAGTAGGGGTCAGTCACCAGAAGTTGCCATGACTTCCAGGTGCACACAAAGTCAGCCACCAGAGGTCTCCATGACTTCCAGGTGCATGAACATTTACACACATGCGCACACATACACATGCACATATGAAAAATACCAACCCCCCCCCCCAAATATTTTCAATATGGCTAGAAGTGTTGTGGCTTATCCTTAAACTGCATCTTCTTGTATGTTTGAAGAATTAACATTTCAAGGCTCCATTTTGCAGATACGTTTCCCACAGGTTATCCTTATGTGGCAAATCTCAGGAACGACATTTCCTGCCAACAGTGGAGAGGAAGTGCTGCCATTGAGGGGGAAAATGCTAGCCAACTATTAAGCATATTTATTAACGTTTAACAGCTGCCTATTATATATTTACACCTCGATGAATAACGTTTTGTGAAACTCTGTCAGCTATTAAGGGAAGTGACTCATAATAAATTTCACTCATTAGATTTAACAAGGCACTAAATGTTTCAAATGCTACCTGATTATGGAAAGAATCACTGTTAGCCTTGCAAAATGGGTTCCTGCAGATTAAAAAGAAATTTACACCAGACCAGTTGCCAGTTGACAGATACGTGTTAGTTGTTATGTGGGAATGTCAAAACTTGAGGCGTTTGATATGTATTTCTAATGCAATATGTTACTTATATGAATGTGCTAAATGAGCAGTCATTTTACTTGAGAACATGAGGGCAACATTCCTGAATATCAAAATTTTCACCTGAGCAAATTGGGATCCATGTTGCTAACTGGAAAGCGTGTATAAAACTTTCAACAGGAAGAAACTAAGCCTACCGAAAGAGGAAATAATAAGACTTTGAAATGGTTTTAGGGAATGACTGCGGAGGAAAAGAAAACTCTAACCTCTTTGACTTATTGCCTCTGGGGTTTGCTGAGAAACATTCAGTAGATGGTTGCTGCTTTTCTGTTCCCATTGCCAAAGGTCATGAAGTAAGATAAAGACATAACAAAATTCTTAAAGAGGCCTTAATTCCAGAATCTTTGTAACCCTGGTGAACAGAAAGGTTTCATGCCCTTCTGTGACCAGCAAGCAATACTGTTTCCTTCTTATCCTTTCGAGGTTAAGTCTTGCCCGAGCATTCGGCATTAGAATTCCTTCCGTGTCTGTCTCTGTGAGGAAGCCAAGTAGCGTCAATGTTTGAATACGTCCAGAATTTCTCACAGCCGCTGTTGAACTAAGCAGTTGACGTTTTTCACACATAAAGAATTTCCATCAGTACACTGGCATCTTCTGTTCACAACGCATTAAAGGAAGGACGAAGGGTTGGGGCAGCAGGGAGGAGAGATATTCGGCTTAACACTCGGTTGCTTTTTTGGACAGCATTTGTATATGTACGAAGGGCATGGCTCGTGTCTCAGTAGACGCTGTACTGTTGACATTCACAGTTCATCTCAAAGGAGTGAAAATAGCAGGAGACAGTGGGTGGAGGGGAGAGGTGAAGTGAGGTGATGGCGGGCTGTCTTCTTGAATGCCCCCATTGTTGCTTTTATTTGTGTACCTTAATGCAGACATTCAAAAGAAAGCCTGATGGTAAAAACGAAAGAAGGCCCTTTTTGCTGCTGCTTTGTCATTCAGTGATGAGTGGTGCTTAGCTGAGGAATGCGCTCAGGGCGGGGGGGGGGGGGCTCTCCTCACATAGTTAGACCCACTCAGACCCACTCAGACGTGGTATGCCTTCCATCCGTGTTCTCCTAAACTGTGTCTCTTGTTGCTGTACCTGAGCTGGAAACAGAGAAGCTGTAGCAGAGATACTGATCCTCCCCCCTTGCCCTTTTTACTGAGGAGATGGAAGAGGGAGCACAGGAAAGAGGCTTTCGCAGTGCAACAGACCGGGATACCAGTGACCTCCACCTCCTCCTGCGGCATCCCCACTGATCTTCTTACCCTTTAACATTGGGCTTGGCTTTACTGAAGCCTCTCCTTTGACACTGGGACAAGAGGAAGCAATAGCCACCAATGCTGTCTATCTGGGTTATGTGGTTTGGGGGGGGGATGATGAAGATGTCAAAATGCTCTCTCTCTCTCTCTCTCTCTCTGTGTGTGTGTGTGTGTGTAAAAGGCCATCAAGTTGCAGCTGACTTATAGCAACCCAAGCAAGGGTCTTTCAAGGCAACTGAGAAGCAGGAACTTCCCTGGTGGTCTCCCTTCCAAGTACTGACCATACTTAGCTTCTGAGATCTGACGAGATCAGGCCGTATCATGCTGCCTTCCCTCCCAAAATGGTATATAAATGCTAGATATTCTTAATAAAGAATGATATGTATATTTCATGAAAAGCCAATCATTTGGGAACTGGTAAAGATTTTCCTGGAATGTGCTCCTGTAGGTAGGAGGGTGGGTGTGGATGCAAGTTTGAATGCTCCTCCATTGAATAAAAAACCCTACAGAAACAGACCCCATATGGCCTGTGCAAAAATGCAGGCACAATAGCCAGTGTTCCTGGCCCTTCTCCATGGCTCTGAACTCCTGTTTCTCCTCATGTTCTCTTCCTCTTCCAAGCCATGCTGTAATGTTACAGCACAACTTAGCAGGGAAAGGGGAAAATCCCTTTACAGGATGGGAGGGATGTGGTGGCATGTAGGATTGTCAGCCCCCAGGTGGGAGTGGAAGCCCCCCTGATTTTGTGGGCCCCTGCCAGCTGCTGGCTAGCTGGCAGGTAGGGAAGCCCCACCCAAAACAGCTACGACCCCAGGCGACGTCCCCAACGTGATGACATCACACAGAAGTGACGTCATCATGCTGGGTCATCGTATGGTGATAATCTGATTTTGGGGAGAAACTCTCTGGTTTGAGCCCAAAAACCAGAGGATTCTCGGCATGATGACATCACTTCCATGTGACATCATCACGTTGGGGACGTCAACCAACCCCCCCACTCCTGGAAAGCTCTAGATGGCAGGCTGCCCCATGCCAGTTTGAAGGCAGAGTTTAGCTCTGCACCCTTCCCTGTAATTGGGTTGCGGGGGGGGGGGGGGGTTGGAGACCTCTGGGAATTACAGCTGGTCTCCAGGTAAAAGAGATCAATTTATCTGGAGAAAATGGCTGCTTTGGAAGGAGGGTTCTATGTAGGGTTGCCAGCTATCCTCCAGTTGACACCTGGAGATCTCCCACTGTTAAGAGTTGATCTCCAGATGATCAAGATCAGTTCCTTTGGAGAAAATGGCCACTTTGGAAGGTTATAACTTGCTGGAATTCCTCCCCTCCCCAAACCCCACCCTCCCTTGCCTTCACCACCAAAATCTCCAGGTATTTCTCAACCCAGAGCTGGCAACCCTAACTCTATGGCATTTTACCCCATTGAGGTCTCTCCCCTCCCCAAACCCCACCCTCCCCAGGCTCTACCACCAAATCTCCCAGAATCTCCACTTTGCAGTTTTGTCTTCCAGGTGGATTCAAATAGGATTCTCCCTGCTTTTTAAAGTGAAAAGCCCCAGGAAT